TCCAGAAATTTTCCAACCAAACACGTTTTTCTGTCGGATTGTGGATGCAATTTTTGCACTTTTTACTTAAAAAATCACTGCGTCACCTTGGGTTAAGTTAAGAAATTATTACAAMSYCAACAATYGAAAGTTTCGAGCGTTGACCATCCTCAGGGAATTTTTYAGAAATTTTCACTCAACGCGCTTTTCAGTTTCACAATAATTTTTCTGAACTTCTTAAACCAAGCGCGCTTTGCTTTAGTTTTTTAAGTTCAATTTGTTAAGTTTGCAATGAGCCGCAAAACCCTCGATTGTTGAACTTTGTCGGAAAAGATTCAAAGAAATTGCCCTGAAAGTCGCCAAGTTGGCACATATTCAGTAGATTTTTCAATAATTTTCCAAATAACCCCGTTTTTCTGAACCGCTGTTTACGGAAATTTTGCACCTTTTCCTAAAACCAATGATTTYGYCCCTAAGAGAAGACTGGGGGAGGTTGCAATTTAAGAATTTTGTAGCCAAAAGACCGTAGAAATTTCAACATTCGACCATCAGCAAGAAATTGCTGTTCCAGAAATCAAGTTTCCGAAGACAAACAGCCCAAAACAAATTCCATTTGATTAAGAAAAGTGAAACTGACTGCGAATTTTTGTCTTTTCAGGATGTTATCGCAACCCCATTTACCCGAAGTGACCGAAGAATTCCTCTACCTCTTCCTCCATGCCTGCTATTACTCGCACGATAAAACAAAGAGCGCAATTGAGGCATGGTTCACCATCCGAGCCAATCATCCCAACATTTTCTCCAATCGCGACCCTGATGAGCCCAAAATGAAGAACCTCTTGGACATGGGGTGAGTAACTGCAGAAATAATAGGCAAACTGAACAAAAACCTCCACAACTTTATTGATTATTATTATTATTATTGTCGTTATCAATGGTTAAATTGGGTGTTTCGTCAACAGTCCTCTTTTTAGCCGGTTGCTTCTTGCCAGCCTCCTCTTTGGCCTTCTCCTCATTTTGCTTCCTTCTCCTTTTCAAGTCCCTATACTTTATCAGTGAATTTATGTCTTTTTCTGCAGGTTTTTTCGTGTTCGGTTGGCAAACAGTTTCACTGGGGGTTTTGATCTCTTCCACTGTGGCCAGCGAGCAAAAAATCTCCTTCCTACCTGATCCTAATGGGAAAAGTGCCCGTTTTAAACCTTCCTCGGTTGATTAAAGACGGCTTTTACCATCAACAGCTGGACATGTTCTGCACACCAACTTGTTGGATGTTATTTTGATTTTATTGCTCCTATTTAATTGATAGTTTGTTTGCATTGCTTTGCCAACATTTAGGTCCTTCGGATACACTTCCGTGCAGACAAACTTTTCCCGATTTTGTTCATCCCTAACCAGGGCGCATTTTAACACCTTTTCCACGCCATTTTCTTCGCAGAAAGGTCCTGGATCGGTGCCGTCGCCTATTTCTTCCCCTACAAGCAATTTCTCGCCGAAACCTGCACAAAACACATTTCCCTATTAAGCCACAAATCAAGCAGTGCTGGATCTTCATACTTAGCTTTTGTATTTTGCAAAGGTACTTTCTTCCTTTGCACATTGCTTCTTCTAGCTCTTCATCACTTGAAGCTGAAATAGACGCGTTTTGCCCTCAAATTAATGCCAAAGTCCACAGGATACTCACGTTGCACGATGGGCATCTTATTGCTCCTCTTTTGCAGCATGCATTGTCTTAAGATCCCCATGTCTCTAGGCACAGTTTCTTCACTTTCCGGAAGAACGACAGACAGTCCTTTGAGGCCTTTCTGCACGGTTTGGTCCCGAACGCACTCTTCTTCAGCACAAGTTCCACCCTCTGATTGATCTTCCGCGCTCCTCTCTTGTTCTTCTTCACAAATCTTGAACTTTGAAGCACTCAGCGTCTCCATCACTTGTTCAGACACTTGATTGCTTTTGTGGCTGTTTTCTTCGGGGGCGGGCGCACAAAGTTGGGGTTCCGAATCTTCCAAACTTGCCTTGATTTACCAAAGAAAAATGTCAGTTTTTGGGTCTAGGTGGAAAATCAGTTGTTCCGGACGTTTCGCCAGCGCGAGTTGCCTTCGCCTTCAGAGTTACACTTCCGTCGGGCGACGCAACTCGCGAAAACGTGCTAAATTTGCTGCGTTTCGAAAAATGTTCTGAAAATGATCGAAATTTCGCAACTTTTCAAAGTTGAATAATCTGGAATTTTGTGGCTCATTCCGGAGTTAAAAATCTGTTGCTTTGAAGAAAAAGTGTAACGTTTGCTTGAAGAAAACCGCGCTTGGTTTGAGGAATTCTGACAACAAATTCGAAACTTTCAGCATAATTTATTTCAGCTTTCTCCTTCAAAATTCACGTCTGCAATTTCCAGTGCGAAGAAATCGTTTTACTTGAAAAATTCCCCAAAATTCATTCAATTCTGTTTGAAAATTTCTGAAACAGCAATTTCCTGCTGATGGTCGAATGTTGAAATTTCGATGGTCTTTCGTCAAGTTTCGGCTACACAATTCTTAAATTGCAACCTTGCAATAAAGAAGTTCAGAAAAATTATTCTGAAACTGAAAAACGCGTTGAGTGAAAATTTCTGAAAAATTCCCTGAGGATGGTCAACACTCGAAACTTGCGATTGTTGACTTTGTAATAATTTCTGAACTTAACCCAAGGTGACGCAGCGATTTTTTAAATAAAAAGTGCAAAAATTGCATCCACAATCCGACAGAAAAACGTGTTTGGTTGGAAAATTTCTGAAAAGTCTGAAAAACAGAAAAGTCGACACTTTTGTAGCAATCACTCCAAAGCAAAAAAACTGTTTTTAGTACAAAAACTGGCTAAGTTTGCATTTGAGTGACGCYCCAGAAAAACGAGCTTAGTTTGAAAATTCCTGGAAAATGTCCTGAGGATGGTCATCATTCGAAACTTTCGGGGTATTTTSCCTCAACTKYTYCCTASACAATCCAAAAGTCGATAATTTCCAAACACGTCKCAAGATAAAAAATAWTTTTTTTTAATAAAAAGGTGCAACATTGGCATGCACAGCCGGCCAGAAAAACGCGCTTATCTTGAAAATTCCTGAAAAATGTCCTGAGGATGGTCAACATTCGAAACTTTGGCGGGTTTTTGTAGCAACTCTTGGCTACAAAATGCAAAAGTCCGCAATTTCTTAACTCAATCGAAGCCAAGGAAAAACATTATTTTTACTAAAAAGTTCAAAATTTGGATGCACAGAGCGACAGAAAACCGCGATTAGTTTCAAAATTTCAGAAAATTGCCCTGAGAGTGGCAAAAATTGCAAACTTTCAGCGTAATTTACACAAACGTTTGGCTAAAAAACACAAAAATCGCTACATTTGTAGCTGATTCCAAGGCAAAAGTATGATTTTTAATAGGAAAGTTTGCAAACTTCGTATTTGAATGACGCCCCAAAAAACCGCCCTAAGTTTGAATATTTGAGAAAAATCACCTCGGGGTGGCAAAAATTCGAAACTTTCTGCGTAATTTATAACACCTTTTGGCTAAAAAATACGAAAATCAACCAAGCAGCTTATTCCGAAGGAAACAAATTATTTTTAAAAGCAAAACATGCAAACTTTGCACTTGAATGACGATCCAGAAAAACGCCCCAAGTTTGAAAAATTCCGAAAAATGTCCTGAGAATGGCCAAAACTCGAAACTTTATAACACGACTTTTGTTTACAAGATGCAACAGTCGGAAATTTCCTAATTCAGGTTGATACTCAGAAACCATTTTTTTCCAACACAAAGTGCGAAAATCGCATGAAATAGAACGCGAGAAAAACGCGCTTGGACTGAAAAATTCTGCTTCAGAAAAACGCGGTTTGTATAAAAAATGCTGGAAAATGCCTCAAAAATCCTCAAAAAAATGGTCGAAACCCTTCGGTTTAAAGAATCGCAATTTTTCCGTACAAAGTCCCAAAACTCAAATTTTCTACCTTAAATCAACTTCAGCTTTAAACCCTAGAAAAAGAATGTTTTCCACGACGAAAAACTCAACAAAGCAAAAGTTTTCCTTCAAATTGTCTCGCTCAAAACCCAACTATTTTAAGCGCCAAAGGTATCAAGTCGGAACATAGCAGCGGCCAGTCATCGTGCGTCGCTCACAGTCTAGCGTGTGAGTGAGTGAGACACCCGATGCAAACTACGTTCCTGACTGTCAAAATCAGTTTCATTTATTCGAGTCGAGTCCGCAAAAACTCACCAGTTTTCCTTTGCCTTCTTGCGCTTCTTGTGGTTTGCATTGTTTGTCTTCCTCGAACGTTTTCGTACAGTCACATTTGCTCTCTGTTTGTGGCGCGTCTTCCTCCTCCTTTGAAGCACTCGCCGGGCGTGTTGAGGGCTCGTTTATCACTTCTTCCTTTGCTTCCTTTTCCCTTGAGGTGTTGCGAAGGTTATTCGCAATTTTTTTAGTCAGACTTTCGATAGCTTGCAAGCATTTCAATGTTTCGCATAGTTGAGATGAAGTCTGGTCGTTTGATGGTGAAGATGTAGAGCTGGGAGCTTTGAAGCACTGATCTTCAGCTGGGGATTTTGCTCTACGGTTTTTGCCTTTGCATGCACATTTTTTCAAGCAATCGGTCATTGGATTACCGCTATCTTGGGCTGGCCCTGAGCCTTTTAAACAGCTGAGTTGTTTTGCAGAATGTTCGTCAAGTTTGCTCGAGTTTTCCTGGTGTTTTCCACAGGGTTTCTCAGTCTTTTGGCAAAAATCCGCGCTTTTCTCCAAAATACCCGCCGTTTTCTTCACGGGTTCTTCCTCGAGTTTCTTGCGCTTCGACAGGAAAAACTGCTTGATCCCCACCGATGAGTCCACCTTGGCTTTTTTAGGGAACAAGTTGCTAGCGAGCTGTTGTTGTTCGCTCTTCTGTTGCTTGAATGAAGAAAATCGAATCTTCTGCACACTGATGGGACTCGCTGGGATGTTGAGAAGACTCAGCTGATTGCAGCAGGCCGAAGATTTCCAGGACAAATCCGGGTAGCGAGTCAAGTGGGCGATTAGAGCATCATCTGCAAAGAAGAAAACTATTTGGCCGTGTCTCTTCCGGTGGCTCTTCACTTACATTCCATGGATACCATGATTTTTTACCTTTTCCTTTGGGTGATTGGGCGGCATCGGCCGGAAAGTCTGCAAAATAATTGAGGACAATTTTGAGGAAATTGGCTGCGATGATTGTCTCCTGGCAAGTACCTTGAAGCAACGAGGACAACTGCAATTTCAGACATTGCTTCTTGCAGGGATCCTCCTTCTTCTTACATGGATCCTCCTGTTTCTTCTTGCAAGGATCCTCCTTTTTCTTGCAAGGATCCTCCTGTTTCTTCTTGCAAGGATCCTCCTTTTTCTTGCAAGGATCCTCTGGTTTCTTCTTGCAAGGATCCTCCTTTTTCTCACAGGAGCCCTTCAACTTTCTGCTGGCCGCATTTGCCATGCAGGCGCCCTCCTTTCGACACAAACTCTCCTCCTTCTGGCAGGAATCTTCATTTTTCTGCATCGTTTTCTTGAATTTGGCCAGCAACTTGTCCCGAGCAGCGCACTGATCTTCGGACGGTTTGGCACCCAGGCAGGGATCAGACTTGGATTGGTTGCATTGCTTGGAAGATTTTCGACCTCTCAGCTTCGAGTCGCTGCCTAAAATTCGGGAAAATCATTCGGATTAGTGGGGAAATAAGCTGAGATGAAGCACGCACTTGAGGCCTTCGTAACTGCGCATTCTTTGTTCTTCTTAAACAGGAGCCATGGATATTTGTCTTTGAAGCTTTTCTTCTTGTTGCACGCTTTGATCGGTTGGTTCATTGGGCGCTCGCACTGTTTTGCGCTCCTGCCCGTCAAGGTGGCGATGCAATCTGCAAATTTTCCTGCTGACTTTTTCTTGCAAGGATCTTCCTTTTTACAAGGGTCTTCTTTTTTCTTGCAAGGGTCCTCCTTCTTCTTGCAAGGGTCCTCCTTCTTCTTGCAAGGGTCTTCTTTTTTCTTGCAAGGGTCCTCCTTTTTGCAAGGGTCCTCCTTCTTCTTGCAAGGGTCCTCCTTCTTCTTGCAAGGGTCTACTTTTTTCTTGCAAGGGTCCTCCTTTTTGCAAGGGTCCTCCTTGCAGGGGTCCGATTTGCCCTTGCACGGATCGGCTTTCTTCTGGGCAGCATCGCCACATTTGCTGGCCGGTTTGAGATGCTGCCGCTTGCTGTAATCTTCATGCTTGCAGGGAATGCACGGCTCCACTTTGTCTTCTTTCTGCTTGCAAGGGTCCACTTTCTGCTTGCATTCGGTTTTGCTGCTGTTCTGCCTGACCAGCTTGCCGCATGTTTTCTTCGGCTGCTGATTGGCCGCGATCGCGTCGCAAATTTTTCTTCCCTTGTCGCTGATTCCTTCCACCTCGCTCTTGCATCGGTCGGCCGGTTTCTTCTTGGGAGGATCCACTTTGTTCGCGCAAAAATTTTGCTCACTTGGATGCTCCTTTATGGATCCTTTAACGTTCGATGTAGATAATTTACTTTGCGCTTTTTTACATGGATCTTCCTTCTTTTTGCACGGGTCTTCTTTTTTCTTGCAAGGGTCTTCCTTCTTTTTGCAAGGGTCTTCCTTTTTGCAAGGGTCTTTTTTCTTGCAAGGGTCTTCCTTCTTTTTGCAAGGGTCCTCCTTTTTGCAAGGGTCTTTTTTCTTGCAAGGGTCTTCTTTCTTACAGGGATCCTCTTTCTTTTTGCAAGGGTCGTCCTTTTTTTTGCACGGATCCTCTTTCTTCTTGCAAGGATCTTCTTTCTTTTTGCAAGGATCTTCCTTTTTGCAAGGGTCTTTTTTCTTGCAAGGGTCTTCTTTCTTCTTGCAAGGGTCCTCTTTCTTTTTGCAGGGATCCTCCTTTTTCTTGCAAGGGTCTTCTTTCTTCTTGCAAGGGTCTTCTTTCTTTTTGCAAGGATCCTCCTGTTTCTTCTTGCAAGGATCCTCCTGCTTTTTGCACGGATCCTCCTTCTTCTTGCAAGGATCCTCCTTCTTTTTGCATGGATCCTCCTTCTTCTTGCACGGATCCTCCTTCTTCTTGCATGGATCCTCCTTCTTTTTGCACGGATCCTCCTTCTTCTTGCCAGGATCCTCCTTCTTCGCCGACTTGTCTTTTTGCTTCTTCAAACATTCCTCCAGCTGTTTGATTTTGGCGTCCACTTCCGATCCGCAGGAAGTCTTCTTCTCGGAACAGTGAATGTTCGAAACACCCGACAGGCTTTTCCGATCAACATCGCGACTTTTCCTCGCCGATTGCAGCAGGGGTTCGCTTTTCGCGTCGGAAAATCCGTTCGAGTCGGCAATTTTGATGTTCAGCGGCTTGTGATCTGAGTGAATGAAATTGCCCAATTAGGAGCCTACAGGGAGGCGAAAGTTGCAGCACCTTTCAGCTCCAGAAAGGACTCGTTGGGCTCTTGGTGGGCGTCGCTTTCCAGCGCCCAGCCGAACATTCTCCTACTTTTGTGGTCGATTGTTGTGGTTTCGATGAAGGTGACCGGCGAGGCGCCGCCCCTTTTGCCGCCACTTCCGGAGCTGCCGCCGCCGCCCGCAGCGCAAGGGGCCGCAACAGCTGCAAAACGCCCGCCTTAAACCTGCCTGTCGTCCGCCCAACATTACCTGAAGAGTCGCCAAATCTGCCGATGGAAGGCTGGCTGCGCGACAGCGTCACCACAATAGGGGCGGCCTTTTTGCCGCCCTTGTGCTTCCGAATGATCATCATGCACAGATCGGATATTTTGTCTGAGCAACTTTTCACCAGCGTTTTTTCCTGTTCCTTCGTTGGGGCTGGAGCGGGTGTCTTCGTCGCCGCGCTGCCGCTTCTTCGCAGTGTCTTCTTGTCGCCCATTCGATTGGCTGGAAAATTGGAAAGTGGCGCTTTGTTGCAGCGGGTGCTGCTGGAAAACTCACGCTCAATCTTCACGGGACTCCATTCCCTCCTGGTCTCCTGCGCGAACTGAATCGGCTTCCTCTTGGCGGCCTCCTGCTCCCTCCGCAGCGCCTCCTCCCTTTCCACTTGGAAGCGCCTCTCATGCGCCTGTTTCTTTAGCAGGTGGGGATCGCAAGCGTTGTCCTCCTTTGGGGCAGGTTTTGCTGCTTTTGCACACGAGCCGCCCCCTTGGTTGGGGGTTGGTTTGGAGCCGGGGGAGTTTTCCAGGTTGATGAACTTTTCGGCTTGGGGCCCGCAGGTTTTCGCGCAATCTGCTGCCAAAGTCCACCACTGTATTCTGGAATATTTGCGCTGATGGCACTTACCACTTGAGGCGATCTCCTTCATGCCTGGTAGGCCGTGCTCTTTGCCTGCACACGAGCTGGAGCTTCGCTCCTTGTTGGGCTCCTGCTGGCCCTTGCAGGTCTGCGGGGCGGTTTGCGCTGCAATTTCCCGGAATTAACTGGGGAAAGCGAAGGTTTATCGCAGGAAAAATCACCTGGTGGACATGCGGGGGCGCATGGGGGCTGTTGGGGGCGCGCTGCACACTTTGGACATTCGATGTCCGTTCGTTTGATCTCGTCAGCTCTCCTGCAGGAAATCTCTCCACCTTTCAAGTCTCCTCCTTTGCAGGCAGTGGGAGGAGGCTTCTGGCAGGGCGAAACTTCGCAAGGGTCTACCTTGCAGATGGTCTCTGCCTCCCCGCCCTTTTTGCACGGTTTCTCCTCTTGCCTGCAGAGATCCTCCGGTTGCTTCGTGCATTCCTGCTTCCCACTGATGGCGGCAAAGGCATCCACTTTCTTCCCTTTCCGGAACAATTCGTCCGCCTTCTGGCACCCATTTTCTTTGTCTTCAGGGTGCTTTGCAGCGATTTTCGCCTGGTCGTTTTGCGGCTCTTCGATCGATTCCTGCAGCTTTAAGGCTGGCGCTTTCACCGATATTTTTGCAAATGGGTCCCGATGGGCGGCGCATTTGCTCTTCGGGTCCTGCATGGCGGGTTGATGGGTTTTTTCGGTTATTTCAGCAGGAGCGATCTGGCGCCAGGGATACTTAAACTGGATCTTGGGAGGGGCAGGGATTAGTCGAGAAGGGTTGAGCGGCTTTAGGGCGTTTAGGGTGGTGGTTAGGTTCTTATCCATGCGTTCCAGGGCTGGAAATGTAACGGCTGATTTAGCTTTAAAGCGATTTAATGGCGCAAATCCATACAGAACTGGCCGGTTAATTGAGTGAAACTTAAAAAATTGCCACCCAGTTTCTCGAATGGGCTTCAATTGGAAACTCGCCCTGTATATGAAGCTCACGTTCCTCTACCGTAGGCTGATCAGCCCATAGATTTATTCCCCGTGGGTCTGGAGATATGAATTTTTATAAATTGCCGCACTTGGGTTGAAACATGCTGCCACTAAGAGAGGGTGATGCTTAAAAAATTATTACAAAACACCTGATGATGCC